ATTAAATTAAAATTATTATTTATTTACTAATTTCTTTACATCTTTTGTATTTCTAATATTAAATACAATATTAAATAAATATATATATTTTTTTTAAATATATTTTTTTAATATATAATATGTAAAAAATATGTTTTTATTAATATGTAAAAAGATATTTTATTTTATTTTATCATAGTAAGTTTTTTTTATTAATATTTTTGTTCTTTAAATATAGATTTATTATCATTTTTAGCAGATCTATTTAAAAAGTTAAAAATATGGAAGGTCATTCATATGTTTCATGTATCAAGATTAATGGAATTCCTATTTTACCACCAATGGTATGCATATTAATTATTTTATTATTATTTAAAATTTATTTTATGATTGAATTTATTTTTTCCAGATAACTAAAGATATTAAGCGAGAATTATCTAATTATAAAGAAAGTGCAATAAATATAGAAAAAAAATTGATTATTTCGCGTATTAACAAGCAATGTAATAGTAATACCTATATAGAAAAAGTTCAAAAAGAATTGAAAGATATAAAATATAATTATAGTTCAAGAGAAAATTTGAATTCTTTTGAATATGATAATTTTAATGAAAATATTGTTACAGATGTAAGTGATGTTCCAATAGAAACATTCAAAAGTTCTAATGAAAATCTAGAAAAAACTTTACAGTATGATAAAGATTTAAACTTGAGATGTAAATCTGAAAATCAGATAAATTTAGTTCCTAGTACTGTTTCAAGATCAGAGTCAATAACTTCTAGTAATGATTCAAATACAACAACTTTAATAAAATCTACTACTACAGAAACAATATCAGAAATTTGGAAACCACAAGTGCCTAAAACATTAAATATAATTCCATTGACATTAAATAATGCTAATCTTAAAGAAAATGAATGTCAAGAAAATGATTTGGATAATTTAGGAGACACTCCTAAATTAGTACGTCAAGGTTCCTATGTGTTAGATACTCCAAGTCCTATATTGTTGGCACATATGCAAATGGAATTAGCTAGTTCAACTTGTGCTCCTTCTTCTGAATATGTTCCAACCTCCTGTACTAATGTGAATCGACGAAAAGAATGGAATGTTGCACAAGCTAAAGTTGAATGGGAATATGAAACTAAAAATAAGGAATCTGTTCCTATTGCAAACTTTTATTCTAATATTGAACATAAAATGTGTAAGTCTGTTTCTTTACAAACAAAGCCTGAATGTTCTTTAGCAACATATTCATCAACAAGATCAGCTGATTGTATTCAGACAATGTTAGCTAAAGAATATATTGATAAAAGTGATATACAAATTAATCAAGATAAAAAGCATACTATAGATAATAATAATGAAATGAGAAAAAAATTTCAAACATGGAATAAATGTAACAGCACTTTTAATTCATGTAAAATTGGAGGTTCTTTAGAAAATCTAAATGAGCAAAATAATATTTCTACATCTAATAACTTTATGGAGAAACTCTCAAGAAACACAGATAAAAATTCTATATCTAGATTAAAATCTATTGCATCTGATAAACTTTTAACAGTTTACAAAAAAGTACAAGAAATGCATAAAAAACAAATGGCTGAATTAATGTTTCGTCAACATAGAGAACAAACATTACTTCAAAAGGAATTTGAAAAGCAACAATTACTTTTATTGATTGAAATTAAAAAATCCTTTCCAGAAGTTTCAGTTTCTTTACTTTCTGAAAATATTTTATCTCCTGCTTTTAATCAAATTATTTCTAATGATAATAAGGTTTTTGAAAATAATGATAATATGCAAAATGTAAAAAAAGTAAAAAATAATTTAGAAGATAAAATAGAATATTCACAAGATCATATGAAAATGATTTCATGCCCATTAAATTATATATATCCTGAAATGAATTATGATAATGCTTCCTATTCTACTAAATATTCATGTATAGTTCAGTCATCAGAAACAGAACTATCCAATATTAATAATTCTATAAAAAAAATGAAAGAAAAAGATGTAGAGATACAGTCAAATGATATAAAAAATCATAAAGAAAAATTATTAGAAGAAACTGAAGATAGTAAACGTTCAAACGTTAGTCGAGAATTATTTCCTTTAGATAGTAAGACTACCCATGTACCAATCCCTGATAGGACAATATATGAAACTAAACATGTAAGAAATTAGTGTTTTATATTTTTATTTTCTTAATAGCAATAAATTTATTTTAATGTTACAGATAAAAGCAGCAAATGTAATAAATGCATATACAAGAGGATATTTAGTACGTAGAATGATGCAAACTGAACGTGTAATTGCTTTAAAAAATACATATAAAGAAGCTTTACATTGCATGCTTAAACTTCATGTTGATGCACCTCTTAATCGTTCAGAATTTAATTTTTTACATCGTCTTCAATTACAGGTAATATTGATAATAATTTATAAAAAAATATTAATATCTTTTATAATAAAAAATTTATCTGTTAAACTTTTATTTTCTTTTTATTAAAAATTAATTCTTATGTTGTACATATTTGATTTATGAAAATTTAAAAAAATTTAAAAATAATATAAATTTTCTTTGTATCAATTAATTTTATAATAATTAGCCAATAATAACATGAAATAAAGCAGACAATTTCTATTTAAAATCTTACATTATTTTAATAATAAAAGATATTTTATTAATAAAATTTATCTTTTCAATATTATTAATAATATTATCAATAAATGGAATGATTATTGATTATTGATTATATTATAAAATATGAAATTTAAAAAAATATTTATTAAATATTTATTAGAATTTTTTGATTTATAAAAGTGCGATGCAGCTTCTATGAATATAGTGGAATTATTTGCCCAAAATCCACAGAAAAGAATGCAAGTAATAGCTCAAGATCGTGAAATTAAACAAACTCGCATAGAGCGTCCTACATCTGCAAGATCGTATTCATTTGCAACTCAGCGGACTCTAGCCAGGAAAAAATTGAAGGAGTATGACTCTGCATAGTAAAATTTACATTTTTTTTACAGAAATTCCAATGAATTTTTATAATGTAGAATGTTATGTTATTGAAACAAAATAAATTATTTCATTATTTGCTATTACATATTTGTATTAAATTTAATATTATGACTTTATTGATAAATTAGTTATATCAAATTTACAATTGGAAAATATCAAGTATACTTTATATTCTCAATAATTAGATAACATTTATTTAACAAATTCTGAAATCATATTTTCATTGCACAGTTTTTCATTTTTATATTGTAATAATGTTATCATATTTTTTAATATATTTACATATTTTAATTTATTTATTGTTTCTTTCTTTATTATTAGGATGGAAGAATATCAACCAACTTCGTTTGTTCGTTCATGTTTGTCTAGATCTAGATGTCAAACTTGGACTTCAGATATTAAAGAAAGACTTATTTCTTCAAACATTTTGTGTAAGTTATAATATTAATTACTATAATTAACTTGAAAATTATACACAAGTATATGTACCTGTTTAATTAACTATTATATTTATAATATTTATAATATAATAGTTATTATATTATAATATAATATAATAGTTATTAAATTATATTATAATATAATAACTATTATATTATATATAGTAATTAATAACTTATATAACTTATAGATCAAAGTATTAAAAGAAGTACTAGTGCCGGAACTGTACGAAAACCATGGCGGTAAATTATAAAAAATATATAGTGCCTTTTATTATTGACTTAGTATATATATATGTACATTTTGTTATATGTAAACAAATCCACTTTGTGCCTGAATTTTGTAATAAATTTGTTTCATATAAAATAGTGATTTTTATTTGCATAAATCACTTATATAATAAAGAAATTTTAACATTGATTTGATGATTTATTTTTGATTTGAAAAATTTAAAAAAAAAAGAAATAAAAAATAATAACATTCAATTTATTTTATAGTTCGATAATAAAAATAACGATATAAATGATAATTCATAGAAATTCAATTTATCCATCACTTTTGCGCATGCGTACTCTAGCGCATGCGTATATATGCACGTTGTGTGACGGAACGAATACAGGGTAGTGTGCAGTAACCAGGAGAATATTTTACTTTATTTTGTGATACATTTAAGTTGAAAATTAAATCATAATAATTTATTTTTAGATTAATTATGTTTACAACAATTGTGATTGAGTTTTAACGAAAAAACCATGTGCGATAATGTAAACAACAATCCATTTGCTGGATTGTTTTCAACTATCAACGATGCCGTATCATTCTCGTCTCAAAATCAAACTATTATTAACGAAAATAATAAAGTTAATCATGTTGCACAACTAGAGGATAAAAACATTGATAATATTACGGGAACCATAAATTTTCAAGATTCCAAAGATTCTAAAATCGATAATCAGGTTAACTGCCTTCTTGGTGATATACTTGGTATAACATTACATGGAATTGAAGCAAATGAACATCAAAAACGTAGATTGATTTTCGTTAATGTTGATTCAATCGAACAAGCAGTTTTTGAACGATTAATGTTATCTGATTTAGAATCCAAATTAATACCCATTGAAAATTCTCAACAAATTTTTACTGATTCTCATACAATAGAAAAACAAGTAATACCTTATTTGTTTGAAAGTTATTGTCGATTACAAAAATATCACAATAAACCAGAATTTTCTAATATTCTTTATAAAATAAATCAAATTATATTGCAAAATACAAGTGTTGCATTACAGGAACCAGAATTATTTGAAGAACAAAAGGTATGTGTATTTAACAAAGTCAATTATGATAAATTTAAAGAATGCAATTTAATTCTTTTAATTTTTATAGATTCACAATCAATTTATTGCACTATGTATGGATGGAACTGAACTCAAATCAGAATTTTTATCATTTATTAATGGTATTGTATTGGAATTACAAACAGAAAATGAGAAAAATGCTACAGATGCAATAGCTGTATCTTTTAATCCTATTCTTGATATAATTTATAAAGAGGCAGCACAAAGTAATCTTGTTCTTTTTCGTCAATATTGGTTTACTATATTAAATCTTTTTTCTTCAATAGAACCTTTAGCTAAATTATTAATTAATCATAGTACTCCTAAAAATAGTCAAGGTCGAGCATATGCAGATACATTATTAGGTGCACTTTTTAGTTTAAGTTGTTTACCAAAAACAATAGAAGAACCATTTTACTTTTTTGAAAAACCATTGCAATTAGTAAGTAAGCTATAAAAAAAATGAATAAAATTATTTATAAAATTTATTTATAAAAGTATTGATTTAATATTTTTTTTTTTTAAGACTTCAGCTACTGTTGAGGGAAATATTTGGACAGTCTTAGATGCATTAAATGAATCATTACAAAAAGTTTTTCATTTATTATTAAAGTGTTCATCAGAAGTTCGTCATTTAACTTTACAATGGATAGGCAATTGTCTTCATTCTAATGCAAATAGAGGAAAAATTTGGAATGCTCAAAATGATGTGAGTTTTAGCTCAATGTTATGTGTCTCTGATGGTTTTATGTTAAATTTAGGAAATGTGCTATTGCGTCTTTGTCAACCATTTTGCATTAAACAAAATGATTCCAAAGTGCCTAAAATTGATCCAACATATTGTGCTGCAGATGTAAGTTAATTTATTATATTATGAATTATTTAAGATTATTTATTAAATTTTAAATAATATAATATTTTATAAAAATTGTTTAGGTTAATGATCAGAATGAATATATAAATTCAATTATACATTTAAAAGGAATGACCTCAGAAACTTGTTTGATACCAACATCAGAAGGTGGCGCTAGACCAGTAGCAAAGACATTTGGATTTACTACAGAATGCTTTTTTTTAACTCATAGAGCATTAGATCTTGGATATAGAGTAGTATTAGACAAACTTTTAAGGTTTGTAAATCTTTTTATTTGTGTTTAATTAAAATTTATAATAAAAATTAAAAATTTGTAGAACAAATCAAGATTTAGTAAGAATACAGAGAGTATATCAGGATGCTCAAAATGGTGGAAGATCAGAAGTATTTGAAATGATAACTCAACGTATGGAAGAAGAAATGACCAAGTATATATTTTTGAATCATAAAAATAAAAAAAATATTTTTCTTTTTTCTATATAAATATTATCAAAAAAAATTTATATAGTATATAAATTTATATAGTTTACATATTTATTACATAATTTATATTTTGAATTTTAGATATTTATCTCTAAGAGCAAGTCTTTTAGTACCAGAAATGTTAAAACTTCTAGCAAAATTTCATGCAACAACAGCATTTTGGTTAGTACAAGTATATTTGAATGAAGTTGGAGAAAATGAACAAAATGATTACATTCCAAAAGAATGTAAAGTAGTAACATTTCCTCTACCAGAAACTGTTCCAGATACTTTAAGGTATCTTTAAGTATTTTTTTTTTTTTTTTCTAAGCTATAATAATAATTATAGCTTATAATAATTTTTAATATTTAATATTATTATTTAACATATAGATGCATTCCTGAATTCGTGGTAGAAAATACCATTCGATTTTTGTATTTATTACGCCGTTTAAATCCAAATATTTTTGAAGAACAAGGATCAGCTTTTCTTACACCTGTACTTACAGAGGTAAGCTAATAATAATATAATATTAAAAAATAAAATTTAATAAAATAATATATTATATCAGATAATAGTATTAATGGAATCTCAACAACGTTTATATAATCCTCATTTACGTGCTCGTCTGGCAGAAGGTTTAGAAGCTCTTTTACCTACAAGCGATGAAACTATGAGCCCTGTAACACCAAGTTTAGGGACATTCCATAGAGAACAATTATTTATTACACATCCATATAGACAATATGTATGTAATTATCAAAACTCATAAAATAGAATTTTTTTTTTTTTTATATACATAAAAAATCTTATTTTTTTATATATTATGTATTTAGATTGTTCCGAATTTACTTAAAGTATTTGTAAGCATTGAAATGACTGGACAAAGCGTACAATTTGAACAAAAATTTAATTATCGACGACCAATGTATGTTGTTATGGAATACTTATGGAAACTGCCAGAACATCGTAATAATTTTATGTAAGTAAAGAATAAAGATAATATACTGTTATTATTACTGATTCATTATTTTTTTTATATTTTATAAAAAAAAATAATTTGCCAATTCCAATATATTAAATAATATTTTATAATAATTTATTTAAAATATAATTTAATATTTTAAAGTTCTATTTTAAAGTTCTTTAGCTGAAGAAGCAGAAACTAATATGGAAGCAGCTCAACCTCCGTTATTTTTGCGTTTTATAAATCTTTTGATGAATGATGCAGTTTTTTTATTAGATGAAGCACTTTCAAGCATGGCTCAATTAAAACAATTGATTCAAGCAAGGTATATATAATTTACTTAATAATATTAATAGATAATTCTAATTTTTAAGTTTTTATAAATTTTATATTTGATAAATAAAATTAATAAATTATATATATCATAAATAAAATTAATGAAAAATAATTTCAATTAAAAGGGAAAGTGGAGAATGGAATAAACTACCACAACATGAACGTGATCAACAAGCTCATTATCTTTTACATCTTGGAATGATAGCTCGATTTGATAATATATTAGGTAGAAAAACTATATATACATTAAAAATGTTAACTACAGAAATAAAATCCATCTTTTGTCATCCAACAATGGTGGATCGTATTGCTTCAATGCTTAATTATTTATTGCTTCAATTGGTTGGACCAAACAAAAAAAATCTTAAGGTAGAAATCATAATTAAAAATTATGATTTTATAATAATATAATAATATTTATAATAATATTTAATGTAATATATATTTAAATTATATAATTTTAAAATTTATGTAAATAAATTTATAATAAAGTATTTTAATATAAAATTTTAATTTTTTTAGGTCAATGGTCAAAAAGAATATGCTTTCAATCCAGCAAATTTAGTATTAAATATATGCGAAATTTATATAAATCTTAGTCAAAATGAATCTTTTACGCTTGCTGTTTCGCAAGATGGTCGTTCATATAGTTCAGAACTTTTCAAATTAGCTGATAATGTTCTTGGTAAGTATTTATATTTTTATATCTGGAAAGTATCAAATATATAAAATAATATTACAATTCATATATAATTTTTATGATTATGATATATTTATGATATATTTTAGTTCGTATCGGTGGCGTGGGTATATTAGGCGATTTAGATCAATTTGCAAAAAATGTAGAAGCAGCTGCAAGTCATAAAAAAGAAGAAGATGAAATTTTAATTGATGCTCCTGATGAGTTTCTTGATCCAATTATGTCTACATTAATGACAGATCCTGTCATTCTTCCATCATCAAAGATAACTATAGATCGCCAAACTATCGCAAGGTTAAAATTTTTGTTTATTCAAACCATTTTTATGTAAAATATGTATGATTATATTACTAATACTATTTAGGCATTTATTAAGCGATCAAACTGATCCCTTTAATCGATCTCCTCTTACTATGGATATGGTAAAATCAAATATTGAACTTCAACATAGAGTACAAGAATGGATTCAACAAAAGAAGCAAGAAAAAACGAGAAATTGCCATTGATCAAAGAATAAAAAAGTTGGTAAACTAAAATATATGATTTAAAATATACAATTATATTCAAATTTACTTCTTTATGAATTTTTTAATGAAAACTGGATTTTTATGATTTCAGATAATAAATATAACAAAATATGATCAATGGTAAATTCAGAGTTTTACATTATTTGTTAAAATTTCATAATTAT